CAAGGAGGCATCCATCATCAGAGGTATCCATCGCGTGGCCGCGACAACATAGAGGGTCGAGCCACTGAGGCTCTGACTGTCGTTCGTGGCTCTGCGACAAAGACTGACGTTAAGAATCTCTACAAACGCTTCGGGTATCATGACAATTGTGAAGAGCTGCTGAGCCGTCATTACATGGTTCTTCCTTGCAGGACTTTCGCTGGAATCGTATCAGCATCGAAGGCGGAAATGTTGCAGATTTACGGTATAGGAGAATCGAAAGCCCAAGTGTTAGATCGGTGTTTCAATGAGAAGTTTTGATTCCAGCAGTGTTCTAAACTTGTTGTTCAGTGACGACGCGAATCGATCGGATGGGCGAGCGCTAATGTGATTCGTGACGACCAGCGTATGTTTGTACAATGGCTTCCCTGTCACATACACCGTTTATGAGTCACCCCTATGTACCTAGTGGATTGTCCGGTGAAGCAGTGCACCGCTCCGTCGACCAATTGACCATTGATCTCGGTGAAGGCTCGAAGGGCGATACGCTGGCAGAAGTGTCAACAGCATCTGCAGATGGGAGGGGGATTGGACTCGATTTTTCACTGCACTCGGATACTCACAGCAGTCTTTTTGATATTGGGGATTCTGTTTCGACTTTTGGTGGTTACTATGATGATATTTTTTCTGATATGAATCTGCGAGTCACTATGAAGAACTCCTTCTTGAACGTAGATGAGCCCAGTGCCGGTGGTCTCGATGATTTGGCAATGCCCGAACTCATTCGAGGTCAGACTGCACCGGACGTATTCCCATCGGCCAGGCATGCTATAGATTCGCAACCCCCTGGTCATAAAGCAGCAGTGCCTTTGATTGGCCTGTCCTGGCCGCCTTTCGTCCACTCTGTGCTTGAGGAAAGCAGGCACGTCAATGACAACTTGGTCGTGGGTGCACACAGTACTCGCTCTGATCACGGCAGTTCCGACTCCCAGGACTGGGCCTCTACGATATCGGCGGTATTGGGTTTAGAGAGCACCACAGACTCTGATGTAACCTCTATTTTGAGTGCGGCGCCGGCTGGAGACTCAGGGCAGGATGCTGGATCATTGAGATCGCAAAATCAGCTTTTGACCAACGCTCTCTTCGCTATTGCGGAATCCAATGAGATGCATCAACAGCGAAATGGCAGTGGTGGTGGCTCTCATGCATATGGCAATTTCGCTGCTTCGATTGAGAATGGTAGCTGCGTATCGAGCCCATACTTCATTGGTGCAGCTAGCAGCCCTTCGGGTCTCTTGTCCACCCCGGACTATGGTAGGGACCAGATGGGTGGGTCGATGGGTGGTCCTGCTGGTCAGAGGGAGGAGGTGTGTCCTCTAGAGGAGGAGGAGGGTGATGATGATGTCAACAATACGACTGTGATGCTGAGGAATATACCCAATCGGTTCGACACACAATCGTTGATCGAACAGATTTACCTTATGGGTTTTGAGAACACTTTTGACTTTCTCTATTTGCCAATCGATATCAGAAACAAATGCAATGTCGGCTATGCTTTTCTAAACTTTCGTCAACATTCTAGAGCCCTCGATTTCAAGCGAACATTCACCAACTACAGACTGCCAGCCCTAAACTCGCATAAGATCTGCCGAGTTTGTTGGGCACTCGTGCAAGGCTTCAACAAGAATGTTGAGCACTATAGGAATTCCCCAATTCCGGAGAAGCATAGGCCGCTAATCGCCGATGCACAGGGACGGTGGATCCCCTTCCCTAAACCTGACCCTCATGTCGAGGAGTTGATCCGATCTCGTATGGCGCAGGAGGAGATGTCCAAAGCACTTGGTTCTAGGAAGATCCGTAGCTCGACGTCGTATTGGGTAGAGGATAGTCATAAAATATTTATCGGTGGTTTGGGACGTTATACTACTAGTAGTACCCTCCGCGCGCATTTTTCTAAGTTTGGTGCCGTCAGAGAGGCTCCAGTGGTGATGGATCGAACCTCTGGTAAGAGCAGAAGGTTTGGCTTCTGTGTCTTCGAACATGAGGTTCCTAAGGCCGTATTTGAGCTACCCCATGAGATCGATGGGGTCCTCGTTGCTGTGGAATACTATTCTTCAAATACCTGACGTATGTGGGATATCATCATCATCATCATCAGCGCCAGTGGAGCATTATCGCTTCAGAGAAGCTTATCTCATCGGTAGCCGTTTTTGTTACCAGCTGTACAATTTCATTCATAACTCCAACATGGCGTCGGCGCGCTTTTAGCTAGCAAAGTTCTAGCAGTGATCGAACGTAGGCTGACTTTTCGTCGGTCCTTATTGTCTTTAGTTGTCATATCTTATTGCTACAGGCTGTGGTTCTAGTTACAATCGCTGTCAGTGTTTTTGTCGCGATGCAGGTATTCGTGATACCATTTTCACATCAACACTCGTTGCCGAGTAGTAGTTCGACGACCCCACATAATTTACCCTCTAATATTACCACATATTCTCCAATTCTCATTCGTACCAGTCACCTTTTTGCTCCGGTCTCACTCCCCCTTCCTGGTAACTCTCGCCCGGTTTTGCTCGCCACCAAATGTTGGGGTTAAGAAAAATCCCGTTCTCTTCAAGGCTCTCTTATCATATATGAACCATGCGGGAGGAAGTAGCAGAGCACGAGCGTTGTTTTATGTCATCGTAGCGACTATGACAACCATTATTATCACTTTTCATATCTCACTACTCTTGCGTTGTCAACAGCATTCACAGAGCACTACTTGGAGGTATACATTTTCCATGTCTATAGCGGCAGGACTGCGAGAGATCGTTGATAGACTCAATGCTCCTCCTCTACACATTAATCTATCCTTAGTGCAATTCGATGAGCTGCCAGCGTAATACGACAGCCCCCATAGTGTGACAAGTTACATGTGTAGGTCGACCCTCCTGTCAGTAGTGAACAAGGTCCTTGCAGTGCTCGATCCGAGACACAATGTAGACACCACAACGAGATCATCCCTCTTGAAAACAAGGCTGTCTCTTTGAGCCTCTGCATGATCGTTGGTCAGGTCGATATAGATAATGAGCGTATGGAAGATACCTACAAGCGCATGGTTGACTTCATCACCGTGCTAGGCTATCCGGACGATAGCGCCATGTACTGCCTCGGCTCTCGTCATCGACACTCCTGTGATGGTGGTGAGTTAGAGCGTCTAAAGAAGGATTCATGAACGGCGACAAGAGAGTACTTCATCCTCTTTTGTACTGGCTATTGGTCAATCTGACTGCCCTCAAGGAGAGGGCATACTTAGCTAGGTAGAAGAGCTGATAAGTCGCGTGCTTGCTCTCGGAGTTCAGATTTCTAACCAACTTCGAAGTCCCTCAGGACTTCTTGCAGGACGAGAACATCGCAGATATGTATTCGAAATATAAGGAGCTCCAGTCTACGTTCAAGGCGAGCCTGGCAGCGGGTTTATTCCGTAGCGTTGTCATGCTAGGCTACCCATTCGGCGCTACAACACCAACGGGAGACGTCTGCGATGCCGGACGAATTGAAACGTGATATACAGCAGCTGAGTGTAGAGAAGGACCAGCTTATTGGAAAGTTAAAAGGTATGATCTTGACGTACGTGTATGAGCAGTATTCGGTCTCAGCGCTCAAACATCGTACCACTGGTGATGCTGAATTCAACGCAATTTTTGATGTCACTTCTAGACTGCGGCATGAGCAGGAAGAAGAGGTTACTGGATGGCGCATTCGTTGGGGTGGAGATGGGAACTATCGCTCAGGCGCAGTTGGCTGACACGTACAGGAAGCTACGGAGACAGCTTGATGAAGTCGAACGCCTGCATCGAGGGGCTGCACAGAGGCTTGAGGAAATGCGCCAGGCGCGGGCGGAGGCTGAGGAGGAGCCAGGGAGGATGCTGGAGGCACGTATAGTGTTAGCATATTTGTCATCGAGGTCTTGGCTAGGTCGTACGCAATGACGTGCACAACGCTGGGGTTCAACTAGAACGGACGAAAGCAGCTCATGATGCACTGTGTCAAGAACTAGAAAGTGCTGAGAAACAACTGAGCGTCCCTAATGTGGGCATAATGTAGGGCAGTAGGGTGTTCGGACATGTTCTGGTCAGATTGATGACGCGACGCTGTTGGAGATGGAAGAGAAGTTGGAGAGCCTACAGGAAGAGGCTGAGTCGATGGAGAGCAGCCTCAAGAGTCAGTTACAAGTAGTAACTCTCGGAGGTTCACGAGTACTAAAGCTCTTTTATGCTAGGCACAGGCCTCAGTAGAGAACAAAGGCGGAGGGCTGCAGGTCAGTCGTAGTTAATGTGGCAGACCCTGAATGGTGGTTGTTGTATTTGTAGGTCTATAGGCAGCAGGCTCAGCTCGTGGCTAAGAAGCATGAGGCGTTATCGACGAAGGTGGAGGCTATGGAGATAGAGAGGAATGCTGCAGCGCTCGAGTTGGAGCAGTTGGAGTCGAAATACGAACAGCAGATGGGGCATCGGTACGACAGAGAGTGTAGGGAAAGTAGTAGAGTGTAGTTACCTCCGACGGGAAGACTTCAAAGAATATGCCGTCACACTGAGAGAGAAAACGAGGAAGTTCAAGTCGGCAAAAAGCGAAATGCAAAGTCTCAGATCAGAGGGGTCCATATTAAAGAGGACTGAACAGTTGTTGAAGGAGAAGTGTGTTCTCTACGGTGTGGTGACGTTGGATATTTCACCAGGTTGGAAGATTCCAAGAGGAGACTACGAACAGTCGAGGAGGAGTACGGTGTGGTTGGTCACGACGAGCTGGAGTCGCGTCTGATGGAGGTACACCCTGTTGATACCTGGGACTGTGATCTCAGAAGGTCTATACTGGTTTACGGACTATAGTCGTTATGCATACCGTTGCACAGAATGTAGCAGGCCTCGGAGGCGAAGTCAGCTGCTGATGCCAAGAAGGGATCTCAAATGGAGGAGCTGTCGGAGGTGGTGACGAAAATCAACTTGTTGCTCCGAGAAAAGAAAAACGAATTGGCGCCTCGCATTAAGGCAGGGTAGCGTGAATGGGCATTTCGGTATGCGCTTTTACAGGTACTCAGGGCTTCCAGAGAACGACTGGCGGAAGCCGAGGCGATTTACCTCACGAAGAAAACAAAGTAGTCTAGGACACCGATGACGCTCTTCTGGCCGACCTTGAACAGGTATGAGGCTATTGAGACAGACCTCAGCAGAGAAGTAAAGGAGCGTAAGAGCGTGACGGAGAGATTGCTGGAAGAGACCGAATATTTGCGAAGTCGGGCAGCGGAGATCGAGTTGAAAATCATAGCGTAAACCGATACACCTTGTAGGCGGCTTTTAAGCTCGCGTCGGATGCAGGACCGAAAGTTTGATCGAACGAGGGGAACGAGAACAGCAGTGCCTCGATGGCTCCATGCAGTTCTCCAAAGATCATCCGACGCTCAGTTCTGTCTATGCGGCGAAGATTGGCGAAGTTGAGCGAGTAAAGTTGAGCGCGTTGGGACGGGATTCCTTCACGCTGTGGCTCTCAGACCTGCCAGGCTTTGAAGGTGCAGGAAAAAGATGTCCAGGACTCCTTTGACCAGAGAGTCCATCAGAAGCAATTATTTGAACGATTGAATCGACTCCTTGAGGTGAGCCTGTTATCAATATTGTTTGTGACTTGCTCACCGACCAAGTGAAACTGCGATCGTTGGCGACAGCAAACGGAGATGTTGGTCTCGGACGAGTAGAGCACTTGGCAAAGGAGTCAACCGCCTTATAATAGAAG